GGGCTACATACAAAAAAATATTCCCKGGTTTTCATAGTTACCTAAATAACAAATATGTTTCCTAATCGTTTAGTACTTGAAATAGTTGAAATCCAAAAACATGTTATCCACTATTCAATGTTTTTGATGAGGARAAAAGTTTTTTTTTAATAATTATAACTTGTAACAAGTACCTAGCATATTTTCGTTTATAAATTAACAAATTTTTTCTATATTTTGTTTTTAAAAATATTTTTAGGCATTTAAATATAATTTTGAGCTTTCAATTTATCATTCTTAAGGTTGAAGTTAAATTAAATGAGAAAGGAATAATACTATTTTATTTTTAAATTTTAGTAATTACTAAAGAATAAATTTTGATTAATTCACATTAAATTCAAAAAAGTTGTGTTATTATGTAAAATTATTTAATTCTATATTATTAACATTGTATATATTTTTCAGCTGTACTGAAAAATATTCTGAACTATCTGGCATACTTAAAAGTTGAAGTCACCAAAATTTCTGACACWCAACAAGAAATAATTCAGGCGATTAACAATTCAAACTCAGCTAATTTCAGTATTTTAAATTCATGCGAGATTGATTATTTTGTAACTGCTTGGCCAGTACCGAACCATGAAGAGTTAAATGATTTAGAAACAAAACTACAAGCTAATGAACACGATTTTAAAAACCAAGTTGTAAGATCAATTATTCTAGATCGATGGATTCTTTTATCGGAGAATATTTGTTATTTCAAAAAATATTTTTTCACATGGTTTTTATAGTTTTTATAATACTARCATTTTTTATGGAAACATACATGGTTTCTTATTTAAAAGCAGATTATTAATTTTTTGAAGCATTTGATTGTGTATAAAAATTTAATTTTGGATGAGTTATTTGTGAGCTAAAAGTAATTAATGTTGTAACTTATAAACAATAAGTATACACATCCAGATATACTTGTCCAAAATTTGATTTTTAAATATTGAAATACTCCAACAATGTCTTGCTTCAGAATATGAAGTTAAATATTCCTATATTTCATTCATTCAAAAAAAAAATTTAACAATATAACCATAACAATACAGAAAAAGTAAAAATTATAATTTTATTTCAAAATATTTGTTTTTAAAACGACTTTTAAGTACCTAAATAAAAAAAATATTTTCTGAATTATTCATGGTTTTATTTATAATGGCATGGTAAATATTTTTGTAAATATAATTAATTAATTKTATGATTTAATTTAGATGCTCGAGTTACTAAGAACAGGAGGAAAATCRGCTAAACAAATAATAMAAAAAATTATAAAAARAGTTTTTTCCRATTTTGTGTTAAAAGATTTCACATATTTTGGATTGAGGAATAAATATAATTTTTCTTCATTCTTGATAAAAAGAGTAATTTTTTGTAATGTTATTAAGTTAATTATTAATTGATAAATAGTAATAATAATAATAATAATAATGTATTTTAGATGCTACAAAACAATCTAAATTCCAAAACATAAAAGACAATGAAATAATTGCAATTATTGGGAAATGGTTAACAACAGCTAAAGCCAGAATAGAAAAAAAAAACATACAAATGATGAAATTAATTTACAATAGCAGTAAAAAATATGGTATTGTGTCACTTTACATTGAGTTGTTAAAATAAATAAAATATAATAAATCCAAATCATACATATTATTCTACTTGTTATAACTACAACACTACCTGTTCTATATTTTTTAATTCTTGTCTCCAAATTATAATAGCTATAGTATTCAATATACATGAAATATTTGTATAGCTATATTATAAAACATTATGTATAGATGAGATATTTATTAAACATAAATTATGTGATATCACATAAATATTTGAATATAATATAATAGTTATCAGTTGACACTCGTAGCGGTTAGGTTAGGTTAGGACGTGTGTTTTTGGTTTCAAGAGTTCTGTGTGATAAATTTTTAATTTTTAATTACCTGTTTACAGTTATCAGTGATAATTTTCAATTAAAATTATTAAGATGTCTGCTGATACCAAGTGTATAGTTTGTGTTGACGCCAAATAGTATCGGCATAATTTAGTATACGTATTATATCGTATATACGCGCGCTCCGGTTACGAGCCGTCGCCGATTGACACACACACACACAAACACTCGCGCTCACCTGTCGTTATCTTTATATACTTATTTTTGTTTAATTATATTTGTGTATTGTGAATTATTATATAATATTATGCAGATTAAGCGCTATCA